TGCATGAGACAAGTGCTCGGACCTGGTGCACTGGGAAGACCCAGAGGGATCGGGCGGAGAGGGAGTTGGGAGGAGGGATCGGGATGGGGAATACATGTAAAACCATGGCTGATTCTTGTCAATGTATGACAAAAACCACTACAATATTGTAAAGTAATTAGCCTCCAACTAATAAAAATATAAAAATAAAAATAAACCATATTGGAATTATCTATTTGCAAAGTCTTTGGAACTAGCCCTAACAACATTCTGAGCTTCTTAAATCCTTACCTCCACTGTCAAATCTTTTTTATTAGTCTTCAAAATTTTCTATTCCTTGTTAGAATAATATGGATGATTATACCTAAATTTATCACAGAATGTTGTCCATAGTATTCTCATCTAACTTTGAAACAACCTTTATATATGCATTTATGCTCTCTTCTCATTTCTAGTTTGTGTGATCTCTTTTTCTTAATCATATTTGCCATATGCTTGTCAATTTTATTGCCCTTTTTAAGGAACCAGGCTTAGTTTTTTTTACTCAAATATATTTGAGTTTTGGTTTTCTGATTCATTTGTTTCTCCTTTATCTTCAATATATCTTTCTTCCTTTTCAGTTTATTTTATGTGGTTCTTTAATTTCTTAAGCAAATGCTTATTCATTTTTCATCTTTGTCTCCTAATAAATGAATTTAAAACTGTATAGTTTCTTCTAAGTACCACTTTCATCTCATCCTGCAGATTTTGATGTATAATATTTTCATTTGTCTAATTTCCAAAGTATGTAAAATTTGTGTTTCACTGAATTTTATAGCCTGAAACTTAATAATTACTTATGAATAGATTTTTATCCTCTTTTATTAGTTTCTTTTTTTAATTTTTATTGGAGTATAGTTGATATGCAATGTCATGTTAGTTTCAGGTATATGGCAAAGTGAACCAGTTGTGCATGCATGCATGCTAAGTCATGTCATTTGTATACTTGTGTACTACACTTTGCCACCCTATGGACTGTAGCTCACCAGGCTCCTCTGTCCATGGGGATTCTCCAGGCAAGAATACCCGAATGGGTTGCTATTTCCTCCTCTAGGGCATCTTCCTGACTGAGGGATCGAACCCACGTCTCTTGCATCTCCTGTATTGGCAGGCAGGTTCTTTACCACTTTGCCACCTGGGAAGCCCCAACCAGTTATACATGTACATATAGCCACTCTTTTTTAGATTATTTTCCCATATAGGTCATTACAGAGTATTGAGTCAAATTCCTTGTGCTATATAGTAGATCTTATTAGTTATCTATTTTATTTATAGTAGTGTGTCCCTCCCTCACTTACCCCATGGTAACCATAAACTTGTTTTCTACATCTGTAACCCTATTTCTGTTTTGTAGATAAGTTCATTTATACACTTTTTTAGATTTTTATACATTTCTTTTCTAAAAACTTTTTATTATCCCTGTATTAAATTTTATCAAAGAATATGGCCTGTATCATTTGGGGATTTACTAATAATATCTTTTGAAATAACACACAGTTAACATTTTTTGTAACTGCTATAAATGGAATTTGAAAAGAGTGTGAATTTTCTATTTAGGATATGCAAAGTTCAGTTTTTATTTTTCTATTAAATTAAGCAAGTTGTTTGATGTATTCAGTTTCTATAGAGTCTTACATATGTTTGCTTTTTTCAAGCTATTAATTTTTGGGAATCATATTTACATTATTACTTATAATTCTTAGAAACTTAACTTTTTATAGGGGCTTTGTCATGAACTTGGTAATTGACTGTGTAAAATGGGGAATTTTTGTCTCAAATGACAGGAATCCCATACAAACAGGCTTGGGCCAGAAAAAAAAAGTAGATTTGGTGGGAGGGTCAGGAATGGACATGGCTTAATGTGTGACTAGCAAAGAGTTCTGTCTCTGCCTCCCCTCTTTCCTCTGCATTTCTTCATTAACTTCTCAGACAGGCAGAGCTGACCACTGACATCTTCAGTCTTATATCCCTTCTTTTTGCTAGATATCCCAAAGAAAAGAGTTTCTTTTTAATTATTTAAAATTTTTTGTAATTAAAAAAAGAAATATGGCTGAGCCACATGATATGCAGGATCTTAGTTACCTGACCAGAGATTGAACCCACACCCCCTGCAGTGGAAGCACAGAGTCTTAACCACTGGACTGTCAGGGAAGTCCCTAAATTTTTTTTAATGAAGTGTAGTTGATTTACAATGTCATTTTAGTTTCAGGCATATAACACAGAGATTCTGTTTTATATTCCTTTTANTGCTGGGAAAACTGGTCAACCACCTGTAAAAGAATGAAACTAGAACACTTTCTAACACCATACACAAAAATAAACTCAAAATGGATTAAAGATCTAAATGTAAGACCAGAAACTATAAAATTCTAAGAGAAAAACATAAGCAGAACATTCTCTGACATAAATTACAGCAAGATCCTCTATGACCCACATCCCAGAGTAATGGAAATAAAAACAAATATAGACAAATGGGACCTAATTAAACTTAAAAGCTTTTGCACAACAAAGGAAACTATAAGCAAGGTGAAAAGACAGCCAGGTAAGAAGGGGCAGGTAAGAAGGAGAAGGTGGGACAAATGGAGAGAGTAGCATGGAAACATATACACTCACGTATGTGAAATAGATAGCCAATGGGAATTTGCTATATGACTCAGGGAACGCAGACCGGGGTTCTGTGACAACCTAGAGGGGTGGGATAGGGTGAGAGGTGGGAGGCAGACTTAAGAGGGAGGCAACATTTGTACTCCTGTGGCTGATCCATGTTGATGTATAGCAGAAACCAACACAATATTATAATTATCCTTCAATTTAAATAAATAAAACAATTACTCCAGTTTAAAAAGCAAAAAATAAAACAACAACAGCAAAAAGCAAATAAGTGTGATGTGTTCATCCTTTTCCTCTGCAGAGAACACGGGGCTGTGAGTGGTGAAGTCAGCAACAGGGAGGAGCAAAAGAAAACTGAGTAACTCAATTGACCTCTTCTAGGCCTTTCTTTATTCCAAGCCTCAGTGTCCATTTTCAGGAAAGACCTGATTCTGGACTCCTCTTTTTCTAAGATCTTTTTGAGGTCATAAACATCAAACTATAAGTCTCTCCGTGCCTGTATTACCTTGTTTTCAGAAAGGCCTTTTCCCAGGTGACTTTGAGTGGAGGCCTTAGGCGGGGTGGGATGTTTTAGGAGATGGTAATGGCATGGGATGGAGCAAAGCTTGGTGATTCCTGATTTAGCAAGTCCTCTGCCTCATACCAGGCTTCCCTGGTGGCTCAGAGGATAAAAGCATCTGCCTCCAATGCAGGAGACCCAGGTTCAATCCCTGGGTTGGGAAGATCCCCTGGAGAAGGAAATGGTAACTCACTCCAGTATTCTTGCCTGGAGAATCCCATGGACGGAGGAGCCTGGTAGGCTACAGTCCACAGGGTCGCAAAGAGTTGGACACTACTGAGCGACTTCACTTTCACTTTCACTGCATCATACCACACACCACCACCACTATCAAACAACCTCTCTTAACACTTGGAAGCTGCCTTAAGAGGACGTTTCTGAGTGTGCTCTGACCCCTTCTGTTCGCAGAATTTCCACCTAAAATACGCTTGATGAATTGTCCCCACCGTTGTGAAGGGCGAGTGGAGGTGGAAAAGGAAGGTTGCTGGGACACCATGTGTGATGACGGCTGGGACATGAAGGATGTAGCCGTGGGGTTCCGGGAGCTGGGCTGTGGGGCAGCCGAGCACACACCTGCAGGCACGTTGTATCTGCCAGTGGCAGAGGAGAACCAGCCTGTATTTATTCAGGGAGCCCTGTGCAATGGGACAGAAGCAGCACTGTCTGAATGTGAGCAGCTTGAGACCTTTGACTGTGGGCACGATGAGGATGCAGGCGCAGTGTGCGAAGGTAGGTGATGGCGGGGCCTGCTGAATGGGAGCCGGCTTACTCCACTTCAAGGCCCTTCTCTACGCTGCCTCCAACTCACTTTGCTAGTCACTGTTGCTCCTGCTGCCTTCAGAACCACTCACTCATTCTACATTAGTATGTGGTCAGGAAAACACCATTAGTTCATATTAGGCAGTCTAGAGTTATAAAGGACTCTCCTGCACATTCTGTTAGTAGCCTGTATCTGCCACTTCAAAAGATAAGATACTGGCATTTTCATGGCCATGAGTTTGGCTATAAGGCCAGGAAAATAATTGTGAAACCATAAAATTACACAGTTTGAGTGATTTTAATGGAGGTCACACTGCTTATATTGTTCTAATCAATATAGATTGATTAGAGCTGATGGGATTAGATTGTTCTATATTCTCATCTAATCCCATCAGCCCTACTGTACTGTCTCCCTGAAATGCCTCTACTCATCGAAACAAATCCCAAATAAGAGGAGTTCTTGGTAGGGAAGACGCAAGTGCTTTTCCCTTCCCTGGATTCTAGTGAGATAGGGAGTGGGGAATGCGAGGAATGTAGGAAAAACCCTGGGTCTTCAAGGAAACCAGGCCACAAATTGAGGGTGGAAGTAAAATCAAGTCCACTGCATTTCCCAAAGATTCTATCGAGTCTGTGACTAGAGCAGAAGCCAGTGGGACTGCTACCTCATGCCCAGCCCCAGATCGTGTCTCTGGTGGAGCACCCCAACTTCCTGGGCATCCTTCCAGAGGTGGTGAGAATAAGCTAGAACTATAGAGCCAATGTCCAGTTTTAGGAATATCTAAAGGCCTGTGNCCTCCCCCACTTACCAGCCCTATAAGCATCAAACTTCTCTGAAGCTCATGATCTCTGTCAGAAAAGTGGAATAATACCTGGTCCAGTTACAGAGCTGGGACAAGATCAAACACTCCTCATTCATAAAGATCTATGGTAAAGAGCAAAATCTGGGAAGAAGTCTCCAGGGCCTGCTACCGCTTGCTGATTTTAGATGATCTCCATGAAAGGGGAGGTCTGGAACTCAGGGTTGGCCCTCTTCCATATCCTGGACCTCACCTCTCCAGGAAGACCCCATGAGTTTGTCCGGACAATCCCTTTTTGGCTCTTCCTCTCCTTACCACCAATTCCCTTTTCTCTACAGCATTCTAGCCTAATTCTTTTTGAAGATATGGCGACTGGAGGCCTGCAGACCTCAGAATTTACTTTTTGACCTCCCAGCCCTGGGTGACCCAGTGGCTCTGGACAGACCTTAATGTTCTGTGGCTCGCTTGAGCCCTGTGGCTCGCTTGAGCCCTCATCAGGATTCTAAATTGTTCTTCTGAGCCAAAGTATCAACTGTGCCTGCACCTGGGGCAAAACCCAGCTCCCAAAGAAGCCAAGCTCAGAGAATGTCTCTGTCTATACTGATACCTTGGCCTGGTCCTGGCTTTTCCAGTCTCTTCCAGAACTGCCTGGGGATCCCAATACTGTCTCCTTGAGCAGATGTAGCAGCTCCTGGGATGAAACAAGCAAGGAACTGATTGAGGTGGGCCCTACATCTGATACAAAATATGTGCATGTAAAACAGACAAAAATAAAAGAAAATGTGGGTATTTGATTTTGTTTCCAAGTGACTTGGGAAGAAAGTAGCTCTTATTTCTTTTTAAAATTTTTTTTAAATTACAAATATAAAACACATTATAAAAAGAATAGTATACAAAAAAGAAAATAAAAATCGGCCAAAATTTTAACACTCAGAAGTAACTGCTGTTAATATTCTGATAATTCTAAAATGTTTTATAAATATATATGAATGAATATGTATATTTCAGTTTCTTATACTGTAAGCTATGTATTATTTTATACTGTTCATTAAATTTAAAAATACAATAGTAGCATTTCATTAACACTAAGTTCCTGAGAGATTATATGTGTGTGTGTGTGTGTGTTTTCACAAAAGCTAATCTCTCAGGAAAATATTGTCCTACCAGGTTACTTAGAGATGTTCTTGCCTTTTTGAGAGTCTGAGGTTTTCTGCCAGCATTCAGTATATATTCTGTGAGAGTCATTCCACATGGAGATACATTTTTGATGAAATGTGGGAGGAGGTGAGCCCCATGTTTGACTAGTCTGCCATCTTAATCAGTCCTCTCAGGAAAGTCTTGATTCATGAGGTCTTTTGTTCTGCTGAGTATCTTGATTAGATTTGGGTGTGAAAACTGAAGAAAAGGAAAAAGCCACATGCTCCATGATGTAACCCATCCTATGAGTCCCCCAAACTCCAGTAATGCTTGAAAGTGAAAGTGTTAGTTGTGTCTGACTCTTTGCGACTGCATGGACTGTAGCCTGGCAGGCTCCTCTATCCATGGGATTCTCCAGGCAAGAATTCTAGAGTTGGTTGCCTAGATCTCAAAAAATATTTGAGTGATTTCTTTTAGAAATTAATAACTAAATTTTGAATCTGAGTGGATATGGGAAGAAGAAAACTGAAAAGATATATTTCTTTGTCAACAGTTCTCCTTATAATGAATAATTATCACAGCCTTACCTGGTTGTGATGTATATTAATATCCTGCTGAATTCCATTTGATAGTATCTTATGTAAGATTTTTGCATAGGTATTCATAATGAGAATTTGTCTGTAGTTTTTTACACTTCCTTTGAAAAGCTTGGATGAATGCTGTGTTGGTTTCTTATTATTTTGAAAGATTTCTTTCTCTGTGATTGCTAAAAAAATATGTAAATACTACTAAATTTATCTTCTTGAAGACTAAAAATATTAGTGAGTGAAACCATCTGGCTTGATATATTTGGAGATGTGACTCTCCAATAACATTCTCAACTTTTTTCACTATTACTGTTATGTTTATTTAACCTTCTCTTGAAAAAAAAATGGTAATTTATATTTTCCTAGAAAGTCATCCATTTAATATAGGTTTTCAAAAGATGTATGTTTAATTCATTGTCCCTTCTTTCTTGATTAACCTATTCAGTGGTTTATCTATTTTTCATAGAAAAGCTTTTGAGTTTATTCATATATTCTGTTGGGGTTTTCTGTTTGATTTATTCATTAATGTCTGCTTTTATCTTCACTGATTTTGGTGATATTTTTCTAAGTTCTTAGTTTCAATGCCTAGTTAGTTTATTTTTATTTTTCTTTGTTGGTACTTTTTCCAGTTGTTTAAAGAACTGTTTTAATCATGCCTCTTACATTTTGATAGGTAGTGTTTTGGTTATAATTGTTATCAAGTCTGTAATATCAGTTTTATTTTCTCCTTTGACCTCAGAAATGTTTTAAAAGAGGAAATTTTTTAGTTGCCTGGTGAAAGGATTTTCCCTTAATTTTGTGATTTTTAAAAATAATTGATTGCATTTATAATTTTTTAAGGTTTTCTTTGTGACTTAAAATATGACTAATTTTGGTAGATCATCTGTGGGTACTTAAAAGAAAGTGAATTCCCTGTTACTGGAGTCAATGTATATTTATTAGGAATTCCTTATTAATCATACTATTTGATTCATATGCACCCTTATTTCTTAATCTGCCTGATCTACTGCGGGTCTACAGGTATCATTTGTTATTGTCATTGTCATTAAATTTATTTCTCCTTCCGTTTCCTACAGTCCATGTGCCAAGTATTGATATTTTGGTGACATGATATTTACTTCCAAAGATTTATGAGGCTTGGAGTTTTCTCGTACATCTTAGCCTTTCCCACTTTCATTCAGTGTTTTCTGCCTTGATATGTCTTTGTCCAGTCTTCCACTTCTAACTTTCTGAGTGACTTTCCTATATATAAGGGGTATGTAGCATATAGGGCTTTTTGTTTGTTTTTTTGCTTTAAATTTATTCAAGTACAGTTGATTTACAATGTTGTGTTAATGTAACATATAGTAGAGTTTTGCTTTTGTACTGGATACAAAATTTATTTTATTAACTGTTTGCCTTTTCACTCTACATTTTCTCTTCTTATTACTTTCTTCATTTTTTGTTTCCTTTTGTTTTCCTTCCTGTTTGTTTTGTAACCTCAGATGCTGAGTTAATCACGCTTCTCAGCTCATGGCTCCCTCCCATAGTGGACCATACCTATTTTCTCTAGTTTTCTTTCCTCATAGCCTTGTTTCTTTAGGTGCTCTTCTCATTCCTTGGTCTCCAGCCATTCTAATGCATTTGATGTACTCCCTTCACTTCCGTGCGTTATTTGTGGTGAGCCTGATTTCTTTGTTTGCCTGTACTGTTGCTCCATTTTTCTCGGTGTCATGTTTTTTTTAATTTATGCACGTTACTGTGTGTACATCTAGTTCATTGCTCCTAACTTCTGCACATTATTCCACCACACTGTCCGTATCTAATCCCCCAGTGATGGACACCTAGATTATCCCCATCTTGTCACTACTGCAGACACTGACTAACTTCCTTTGTCGTGTTCCACCAAGGACATGTGTGAGAATTTCTCTGAATATATATGTGAGAGTGAGATAAATGCAACAAGTAATGCCAGATGGTCCCCCAAATTACTTCTGCCCCCAGAAGTGCAAGACCATTCCCTAATCTGAAACTCCAAGCAACCTTTGAGTTGCTTGAGTGTTAGTTGCTCAGTCATGTCCAACTACTTGCAACCCCATGGACTGTATCCTGCCAGGCTCCTCTGTCCATGGAATTCTCCAGGCAAGAATACTGGAGTGGGTTGCCATTCTCTTTTCCAGGGTATTTTCATAACCCAGGGATTGAAACAGGTTCTCCTGCATTGCAGGCAGATGCTTTATTAACTGAGCCATCCTGCAACTAAGCAGTCTTTGGCATGAGTTAATTAATTAGCCAATTCATTAGTTAACCCTCTAAATTTTGCCAACCAAGTGGGCATAAAGAGAGATCTTGGGGAGGAAGGCGGGAGGTGGGATCAGGATGGGGAACACATGTAAATCCATGGCTGATTCATGTCAATGTAAGGCAAAAACCACTGCAATACTGTTAAGTAATTAGCCTCCAACTAATA